AAAAATAAATATAGAACATTACAACACAAATTTAGAAAAAAATTAGACACATTTAAGATATTTTTATTAATCAAATTAAAAAATAAGTGTAGTAAACAAGAATTATTTTTATTGATAATGAAAATGAAATACATAATTTAGAACTAACAAAAAATGAAATATAAAAATTAATAACAAATAGTTCAATTTTGGGTTAATTGTGTTAATCTTTAATGTCATAAATAAATAATAAGATATAAAGATATAAAAATACATAAATTTTGCAAAGAAAAAAGCATGTAGGCACATGTATAATATCATATATTTATCATATTAAATAAAAGGTAAGTGTGATATATTAGAATTATTTTTACACACAAAAATACAAAAATTGTAAAAAAAAATTGAACACATCTATTATTCGATATTTAAACTACTATTAAAATTGTGAATAAGATTGTGAAACTTTCTTTTTAAAATACTTAGTTTTGAATTTATTCCCTATTTAATTGTAAGATTTAAATTGTAAATTGAACTACTACTTTCACCTCATTCAATTCTCTCTATTTAAATCTTACATATATTTTTATAAATGAACAAAGAGTAAATCTCTTAAACTATCCTTACAGTTCACGAAATTGACAAACCGTACCCTTACTGTTTACATATGTACTACGCTACCCTTAAATTTTCTGACAATTGTCTAAAACCTCCATTGCCGTTAATTTTCCGTCACACTCCATTCACATGTGACATCACATGAGTGATAATTATTTTAAAATTCCTAAAATACCTTTATTGTTCACTACCACTGTTGGAAGTTGTTGTGATGGCAATGATTTTGGTATCGTCGTCGCAGGCGATGACGGCCACTGCAACTTCCGGCAAAAGTTTGGTCCAAACTCAACCGACAATGGATTCATTCAATCATACCTGAAATTTCTCTTTTGCATCTTTCAACTAATGTATTTAAATAATCAAGCAAGCTAACTTCCCCTCCTCACCGGCCATCCCCTACTCTATAACCCTCAACCAAATATAGTAAAACTAAGCACCAAGCTCAAGAACCCGCTCCCCAAACCGAGTCCAACAATCTCCATCATGGACAACCCTTTGGTCTTCAACGACGACAATGAGCAAGAAAAATAGAAATGGTTAAAGAGAGGAAAAAAGGCTCCAAAGACAGTGAAATCGCAACAATAAAAAGTCAAAACCCAGAAAAAGAAGAACTCGTGTCCTCTGTCTTTCTAGTTACCAAACTCAACCGACAATGGGTTCTTTACCGTCAGTGTCTCCTCGGTCTGTGTTTGCCGCCCACGATGAATCCGTAACTTGATCTAAGAAACGTTTCTAATGCTTAAGCTTCTCTGTATTTTGCATCTTCCTCTAGCATTAGTTGTGTTATCATAACATCTCTTGCACAGGTGTTTACTCCGAGACAATCTATCTTAATTTAGTCGTTACTTTCTTACGCAGCATCGATGCCAGTGTTTGCTTCTTTTCTCTAACTGCTGAAGCTCTTCTTCTGAGTGATGAATCACCAAGCTGTACTCCCCACCTTGTCCGAGTTGCATTACTCGGAACTCATTGTTTAGGTATTCGAATTGCTCTACCGTCCACTTTAATCACTTCATTAGGAAGACTCACAAAGCCAGCTCTTGTGAGATGATGACCAGATGGACCTCATCGCAGCTGCCGCCGCCAACGATATGATTTTGGGTTTATTTGTTTATCAGTTGGGTTTTATTTTGAAAATTTGATGAATAGTGAAGGGCAAATTCAATATTTAATTTTTTCATTAGTGTTTACTAACATGTTAATTGTCAGAAAATTTAAGAGTTCTTGAAGGCAGTATGTAAACAGTAAGGGTACAATTTGTCAATTTCGTAAACAGTAGGGGTAGTTTAAGAGATTTACCCATGAACAAAAGAAAAAAGATAAAACACTACAGAAAGAAGAGTCTAGCCAAGCAAGTAGGCCTGTCAATGATACTTAAAACCAATATTTCAAAATCGAAATGGACTAGACGGTCGGACCGAAAAATAAAATCAGGAATCATTTAGGTCTCCGATTTTGGTTATATTATAAACCGATTTTCTTAAAAAAACGTTGGAAAGGTCAAAAAATTGCTGATCCGAGTGGTCGAACCGTTAAACCATTCAACCCAAACAACAATTCACGGGTTATATGTTTTATTTTTTTCTATATTAAAAAAATAAAAAAGGATTTCCACTAGTATCCCCATCGAATTGATAATTGGGGTTAGGGTTCGAATGCAAATCATTTTCATTCTTCCCTTCTTAGCTGCTCACTTAGCTTGACCTCTAATGACTTGCGGTGACAGCAACCTATGGCGAACCACGACGACCAGTGATTGATAGTTGAGGCTCCATCTACGGTAAGTGGTGGCAATTGGGTGGTTTGGTTTGGGTTGAGCTTCAACCCAACCCATCTAACCCGCCAACCCATTAATGACCCAATTATATAAAATTAAATGGGTTGGATTCAACCTAAACCTGCTTTAACCCAATCCAATTGACCCAAACCCATTAATCTTATATTTATGTACTTAAAAAAAAACTCTCTCTTGACAAATAAACTGGTCATAACTTGGTGGTATTAGTGGTTGCTATTTACACAAGTTGTGAAGGTTCAAATCACATAACATGCATGTTATTTTTACATAAGCGGCGAAGCCATTTGACTATGTTCAAATTTCGGGTTTGAATGAACCACTTAGGTTTAAACCAGTCAGACCAACTTGAATTATCTAATTGAATTGTCTTCGACCTAATCACATCAAGGGTGGTCGAACCATTTAGATATGGATCAGTCTGGTTGGACCAGACTAGACCGATTCAACCAATAGTGGATTGACTTGGACCGGCCCATATCAGGTTTGTGCACGGGTTTGGGACCAAACCAATTGACCCGAAGCGGGTCAAGATCATACCGGTTCGGATTTGGGTCGGGTTGTGCACCTGCTGATTGGGCCGAACAATCCAAACCGGGAAAAGCAATCGGGTATCGAATCATCCCGACTGGACCCATTTCGGATTCGGATCGACTGGTTCGACATGTGTTGGGTTGGGTCGGTTCAGACTGGGCTGGCCGACCCAAACAAACCGGATCGAGGTGATCAACTCTGTTCATATTTAGACCAAGTTGAGCTGGTCCGGACTCGGGTCAAGTTGATTTGGATTTATGTCGAATTTAGGGGTGCTCACGGTTGGGGTTCAGTAAACCGAACCGTGGGGCATTTTTTGGAACTAAACCAATAGTATCGGTTTTGGAAAACCGATAACCTAGAACCGAATCGAAGCCATTCAGTTAATCGGTTGACCGGTTTGGTTAACCGTCGGTTTTTCAGTTTTTTAGTTTTACAATATATATTATAAAAATATAATAAAAAATTATAAATATATATATAAAATATAATATTTTAAATAATATATAATATATAATATATAATAAATATATATATATATATTTATATATATAATGCATATTTATTAATTTAAAATATATAAAATATATAGAAATATATGTATATCGGTTGGTTCGGTTAACCACCAATTTTCTATATTGGTTAATTGAAACCGAACTGGTACCTTCGAGTTTTTTAAAAGCACCAAACCGACCAATTCGATTTTTCGGTTTTGTTTTCTCACCCCTAGTCAAAATGGGTGAAGTGTGTTGATTCGAGACAAATCTAAATTTATTTAATAATTAATAGAAAATTAATGCATTAATTATAAATTATTTCATTCAAATGAAGAAAATTAAAAAAAAGGCAAAAGAATTAATACTTATATCTGTAGTGGTTAACCCAATAGTTATCCCCAACCCAACCCGTTTAAGTGGGTGGATTGGGTGATCAACCCAGTTCCATCCTGTAAAGCAAATGGGCGGGTTGGGTGGGTTCAGTGGGTTGGGTGAAAAATTGTCACCCCTATCTACGATGACCTATGACAAATGCAAGGTTTGCATTTCTCAATTCTCACTTTGAGTTTGAGCCGTCATTGAGTGCATGATTTTGTAGTGGCAACCGCAATTTAATAAGCAACAATCACCATTTACAAACTACCGACAACCAATGGCGACCATTGGTTTCATCAACGATCTACGACAGTTTTGCAATGGCAATTTCTTCTCCTCCACTAAAGAGTTTATGGTTGAAGCAGCAATTTTAATCACCGACGACCAAACTACAATCCATTGGTGGCAATTTTTCCCTCTTTCAACCCAACACCATCACACTTCCATTACTGGCGGCGATTTTTTTTTTGTATTTTATTTAATTTTTATGGTATTGTTTTATTATTCATAAATATTTTTACTTTTAATTTATTTATGACATCACAAGTCAAACCGTTTAACCCAGACGATTGAACCATCAAATCAAAAAACGATGCGTTAACCAATTCTATTTTTAGATCGATTTTCAAAATATTACTTGAAACTCACAACTCGATCCGATTATTACATTTGGATTTTATTATCTACATCCGATTAATAATAAAAAACAAAAAATAAAAAAATAAAAAATTATAAAATTTATAAAATATTTTGGATATATTATTATTCATTATCATCATCTAAACAACCTAGTATGATTCAAGTTCAACGAATGTTACATGTTAAAATTGTTCTATTTATTACCGAAAAATAATGTAACATCTTAAAGCGTATTTGGGGGCCCAAGCCTAATAAAGTTCGAGGTACTAAAAGCAGCCAACCATAATCATTCTACTGGAATTCGTTATTCACCATCCTTTGCTGGTGCTTGCTGGGTCCGTTTCTTTGGGTTTGGTGTCAATACAAGCATTTATTGCCTGTGACTGAGAACCATTCCAATGGTGGGTCATGATTATCAATACTCCCTCTGGACTGAAATCCCAATTGCAGAATGCGGAGACCCATAAAAGATAGAAAACAGAAGTAAAAATGACTAGTAATTAGGATTTTGATTTAGAATTGGTCATCAATTAGACCTGGCTGGGTTAGTATTAGCAGTCGAATCATTAACCAACAATTCCATGATTCCATGCACAAGTTAACAGCAGCAGAATGTATAGCACCTATTATCACTGAATGCGAAATCGTAAGTAACTATTTCGCAACCCAAAATAGACAAAAGCTAGTAAGCAGCACACTGCACACCAGAGAGATACCGGTCTAAATTACAGTGTGCAGATACAGAAAAAAAAAAAGAGAGAATTGAATTTAACCAGTTGAGCTTCTCTCCCCCATTATTTCTGGCCCTTCCTCTTCCACAAATCTCCGAACATCCGAATACCAGTGCCTTTCCTCTTACCACCTCCAAACCCATCGTCTGATTCATCACCCAACAATGGTGATCCCACGAATCCGGTGTACCCACCACCAGCCGTTTCAAGGCCACCGCTGCTCAGGTGCTTGTCCATTGAGCCACACCTTCCTGCCACCCTCCCGTTCATCTCCATTCCGCCGGCCAGCACCGCCGCTGCTGCATCAGCTGCCTTCCTCCACTGCTCTGTCTGCACCCTCAGCTTCTTCATCTCTGTCTCTAATGCCACCTTTGCTCCCTCCACCGTCTCTAGTTGCTGCTTCAGTCGAGCCACATTCGCCTTGCTCTCTTCCAGCTCCTGCCCCATTTTGGTGAGCTTCAGAGCGGATTCTTCCTCCATAACTAGAAAAGAAGCAGACTCCACCGCTGCTTCCTTTACCTTCTTTTTCAAGAGCTCGTTCTCTTCCCGAATCATCTCCAATTGCTTTTCCTTCTCTGCCAACTTCTCTTTCAGCAAATTGATCTCGTCATTCATCACAGCCGAGTTATCCAACGCTGGTTTCACAGGGTCCAAAACTGTTACTGCTTCAGCGCATTTCTCTATTGGCTTGGTCTCATTCTCTTGCTGCTCGGTCGTGTGTGTCGGCCTCTTGGGCTTAGATGGAACGGTTTCCACCAGAACTTCGAAAACATCGGTTTCTGGAAAGCTCTCTTCCGGCGATTCATCCGGATTTCCATCTGAGCTGGTTTTCTCATTGGATTCACGGGTTTCCCCTGGAGGAGGAAGGTGTTCTACCTCCTTAGTGGCCTCCTCTGCGGCTGGCTCCTTGGTCTTCTTCTCCAGCTCTTCCTGAGCTTCTTTCTTAGCAGCTTCCGCAAAAACCAACTGCTCTTTCAGCTTTTTCAGCTCCTCTTGGGCCTGACCCAATTGAGATTCCAAATCGGTAATGCGGGTCCCAAGCTTCTTTTGATGCAAAGGATCAGAATGAGCCCCTCGCGGAGATCGACGTTCTCCCACCTTTGGACTTCGATCGACAGTGGGTCGATGGTGGAGATTATCAGACTCATGACCTGACGTTCTAAGATGCAGTGGGGCCCTAGTAGATTGCCTTTGAGGCAACTCCGACCCTCTGTTTATCAAATTAAAAATTAACAAAAATCAATATACACACCCACAATCATTAGCAATCAACAATTAGTATTTAACGACATCCCATTTTACATATCAGTCCAGACTGATATTTCATGAAATGGAAAAACTAGAGAGGGTGTGTAACAGAGTAAAGATTAGCAGCCCTCGGTTGTTGAAACTTCTGTGGGTCAAAAGTCTAGACTATACAAGGATTCTAATCCAACAGTTCTTAACTTTATACATGGATCATTGTTAACAGACTAAGATCTATCAACCCGGTTGCAAGTTGCATCCCATAATGACAGATGCAGACACACAGTGAGGGGAAGCAAGACAAGATAATTGAGATGTCGAATGTGGATACTGCAATCCGTGCTTCACATCAACATTCGAGTTACATACAACAATAAAAGGTAAAGTTTACATCTGCTTTCCCAGAAAAGCAGATCTTCACTAATATATAGCTTTTGAAAATTGAAAGTGCTTTGTTTGTCCTGAAAGGCTTTTCACTCGGTACGAAAAAGGGAGCACCCTCGGGTCTCGAGCCCATTACCAGTTTCAAATTCAAAAAGGAGAAAGACGTTTGCCCATGCGGAGTGCGGTTCGAGTAATCGAGTCTACTGTTGATGCATCATTCTAAACCGGAATCTTTCAAAGATGTACAAATCCCTAGGATGCGATTTACGATGAGTCATGGGCCTCATCAAGACATCTAGCATAAGTGCATAACCATCTCAGCCCTCTAGAAATCTGTTGAAGGGCGCTGATTTGATCAAAACATGACGAAAGTCCGTTGGGTGGTCTCTCCCTCGAGAAAAGAAGAAAAGAAAATAATTGATTCGAGAAGGGTGGTAAATCTTACCTCGACCTCGGCATATCTGCACGTCAAAACGCTATCTGCGGCGGTTGAGGAAGAAGGGCAAACAGGTCACGTCCCCGTATTTTGTTCTGCAAAATTCGAGCAGGGTAAATTTTAAAATTAAAATAATATTCAAAAGAAAAGCAGGAAGTAATAATTATTGAAAGAAAATAAGGAATTTATTGGAGATTCCCCACCGTTAGATTGAAATTTGAATCTGTTAAGTATGAAATTTAAGGATCATCCGACGGTTTGGAGCTGGACAAGGCACATAATGCCCACACTAGAAGGAAAAGAGATCAATGGATGCGATTCCCCTCCTCTGCTCTCTGAAGAGACGAGCAGCGAGGCTGCTCCTTCTGTCATCATTCATCAAAATACCACTGAACTAATGGACATTTTGGTCGTTCTACTATGAAGCATGTAACCCCAAATTGAAACAATGGCGCCTCCCGTAATTTTGCAGAAAAAAAAAACACAAAACTGGAGGAATACCGATTTATCGACGGATGTTCACAGTTGAGCCTTCAAAACTCAGAGACATTCAAGTCCAACGGAAGACAAAGTAGTCAAAACCAGTAAATAAAGAGTAATAGAGAGAAATCGAACCTAACGGATCTTTTTTCCTAGTTCTTTCTGGGGAGGAAGCAATCAAGCTCTACAATCTATTCATGGAAGCGGAACAAACAGATCTTAGATTAACAAAAAGAACTAATTCAGAAGAGAAAGAGACAGTCAAGACAGAAAGAGAAAGTGAGAGAGATTGAACGCGGATAATCCTCAGATCTTGAAGCATTACTTGGAGTCTGGAGACCAGATCTAATACTAAACACATAAACACACTACCTCAGTCTCATATCACATGGAAAACGAAAAGAGCCACACAAAGGAAATCAACCTGGTTAGGAGACTCCAGACTGACAAAGGATTAATGTTAGCAAGAGATCATCAGGTTTAAATAATGTACAGACTACAGAGTACAGAACAGAGACGAAGAGCAAGGAGACAAATCAATACCTATATGATGTGAAAGCGTCGTGGAAGAATAACAAAGCAGATCGTCAATCACCTCCTCGTATAAGATCCAGAGACTGTGGGGTAGCATCCATTAACGACGACGACAAAGTACAGAGGCTAAGAAGGAAGGGAGACAGAAACGAAATCGAGAAGAGAAGTTCACACAGAAGAAAATGGAGAATCATTTATAGCTGAGACCTGAGAGCAGAGGAGGATCAAGGATGTTTTCAAAAACAAGCCCAGAAATGGACCAGACCAATAATTTTGAACCCAAGAGAACCGTTTGAACCGGACCTTCGAGACAACAGACAAGATAAGCCTGAACCAATTCTTTTTTTAAAAGGAAGCACGACTGCACGAGTACGTTCACGGTTCATCATTACTGGGTGATTGGTGATCCGTTGAGCACGCTGTCTGTCATTTATCACACTAGCTCCAACGAGAGCGCTCTCATTGGTTCACCGCCCGCACGCTCACGGCTCACCCCACTCTGGCTGTAGAATCTCGGCCGTCAGATGCTCGCAACTTGCATCCCCAACTGCTGAATCCCACCGTATTTTTGTTTGACCTTCCACAATTAGACAACAAACCACCAGCTTGAACCCTCTCTCTCTCTCTCTCTCATCTCATGTGTCGAGTCGAGGGCATCAGATTTTGACCCAGGAGCTCAAAATGCGCTTGTGGGCCCCACTTCGTTTCTTGCTATCACGTTTTACACCTGGCAACTATTATTATTTTTATATTCCAATCCATCTCAACCGTCCAGTTCATCGTAGGAGGAACCGATTGAGCCCACCGCCCGCGTTCAATTCAAACACCCGAAAAAAATCTGCTTTGGAGCCATTGCTATATCGGCACGTGTCTAGTTTGAGGAAAAAAGTGAGCGTTATCGATTATCTCCCTGCCTCGTGGCCCCTGCATTTATGAGGAAAAAAGCAAGTGCAAAGCTGGAATATTATAAAGTTGAAGGGCACTAGAGAAATTTCCAAAAAGTATATCCTCTTTTATATGAAAAAGATATCCCACGTGGGACGACCTCGTGACGACAACTACGTCTGATGCATCACCATCTCGTGATGCCCTGGATTCGGCATCACCTTAATTATCTCCATCTCCTGTTGTCATTTATGCATAATTCAACGGTTGGATTGCATCGGCCTATACAATCCAACAGAGTTGATCATACTAGGAAGCAGCAGGATCATTTGTAAGATCCTGTGATTGACCAGTGCATTAGAATACACTAGTCTTGAACTATTCAAAGATTGCAGGATCCACATCACTATTTATTTAGACCCCAAGAGTGGAAAACTATCACAATCAAAGATTGTTGATGGGGCCCTAGATCAGAGAAGTTTTAGATGTGTCTTCTAATCAGTGGTGTTCAAGCCGTGGGACCAACCAATATGATGAGTCGTGAATTACTATATCTAAACTGAAGATCTAAGCCCAGTCCTTTTCATTATTTATAATTTTTTTCTTTTGGGCCAAGACAATAACATGTGAGGCCCAATGGGAGGTTGTTGAGGATCCTGTTCAGCCTCTGCATGTGAAGAGGATTAATGTTTCGATGTGAATGGATGGGGTCCTAAACCTACCCTCTCTATAATCTCTCTCTCCCAACTACTCCTTCCACAAAAAAAAAAAAAAAAAAACAGAAATCCGAACTCCTGGCCCGTTGTTGGATTGACACGTGTCAGTCATTGATGGGGAGATTATCCATCTGATTTATGTAACAGCCATAGACTCCACTAAATCATCCTTTCCCCTTCCCATTAGACTGGAGTCTGACTGAATAATGTTGTCTGATTTGGGGTTGACCGGACGGTCAGACCAGGAATCGCCAGCCGAAACATTTTTTGTGGATTCTTGGTTCTTAAAAATGCTGACTTCATCAAAGATCTCGAAATTACATATTTTATATTTTATAAAAAATGAAATTAAATCAGAATCCATAACTATTTATTTAATTGAAATAAGTAAAATGATTGAACCGGACAGTTAGACCATCCAACCCATGAACCATGTGATTAGAAACCCTTATCATCATCATAGTCTTTGCTACCCTATAAGAAACAAACCAATACATCGTAGGTATCACAAAATCTATGTCTTGGTTAAAGGAGGAAAGACAAATTTGGAGGTGCATATTTATTGGGTCTATGTGGGTTCTCTCAATAATTTAATTAGAGGCTGTGTTTGGTTTGAAAGAAGAGGTAGGGAAACCTGCACAACCTCTACATTTTCTTTCAAACCAATCACAAAGTAAAGAACAGGGTGAAAAGACTGAGTCTTTGTCAAGCAATTTAAGATCTCCTTCTAATGTCTTCCTCAAATTCGTTAGACAGACAATGCCATTAACAAGAATTTTAGGGTTCTGATTATGATATTGAATTTGTAACCGGTTCAGCGACCAGGGTGCAGCTAGGGTTACTTCCACGTGGCAAAGAAAAAAAAAGAAGAAAAAGAAAAGATAAAGAGATGATCTAGCTAAACAGCTGAGACACATATATACAAAGGAAATAAAGGAAAGTGGATGATTAGGTTCTGAATTATTGAATGCATGTGGAGGGGGGATGCAATAATGCAAACATTAGGGAGAAATTTTTGTTTGCTATTGTTGATGTGGTTAGGGAAAGGACTGTTGTAAGTTAGCACAGTTGGGGTAACTCACAGTGACTTAACACCACCTTGGCTCTACGGAAAATTGGTACCAGAGCCAACCTGGTGGAGAGTCTCCTTCCATGTGTTTGTCTCTGAGGCTGTACAGCCTTACAGAGTACACAAATAATTTGGGTTATTCTTATTAATGCTTTTTAAACCATTATTGACCCAGATGGTTTAACCTGAGGTTCAAAATTTCATTAGGATGTATTAGGTGTATTGTGAAGTTCTGGTAGTACCCCGATACACAGGGTTCTTACGTATTGGGTGTAATGATATTTAAAGACTTGCAACAGGCTAACAATCCGATAGATCTGATACCCATTATCCAACAACTCAACCACCTTTTTATGCTTTATCCTAGAAATGTGTCTTTTACATTCTTGTTTTTTTGGATTTTGAGGGAGGGGAAAGTTAGTAAATAGAAAATGCTCTTTTTTTTTCAGATTAATGTGGGGATCATGAATGTTTATTTTTTAGTGATCTTCATTTCCTATGTGGATAAATAATTTTTCAACGTGGGGGAAAGATTCACTTGAATGAGACAAAAATGCCCCATTTAATAATAGATTTTTATGGTTAAAATGGTCATTTTCTTTTTTACTTGGGAAATAAAAGAACATTGGTAAATACACTGACGTGGGCAAGTATTTCCCAAGAAAAAATTACCTAGGTAATTGCATTTACCTAGGTAAATAACTCACCAAAAAACAAGCGGGGCCTTAGTGAGTCTCACTATGTCTGTAGGGAGAAAAGAAACTTTTCTCTCTTTTCTTTTCTTTTTTTCTTTGTTTGTTTTCTGTTATTTTCTTTCTTTTATTTATTGAAATGGTTGGGTTAATGGGTAGGGGTGATCATTTCAGTCCGGCCTGGCCCGGAAATTCCGGGCTTGGGCCTGGGTTTTATGTTCAAGCTCGGCCCGAGCCTAGGCCCGCAAATTTTAGGGCCAGGATTGTGCTTAATACTTCAAGCCCAGCCCACATATATTTAAAGTTACACATTTTGTGTATAATGTATACGCATGTATACAAGTTATTGTACATTATATTATATATTTTATATATAAATATTATAACATGACATGTATAATTTATATTACATGTAATATTTTATATTATATAATGTATAAAATAAGTTTATATGCATATTATGTCATTTAATATAAAATATTATAGATATGTAATGTTTTATATATATATATGAAAGACATTGGCCCAGAATCATGCCTGGCCTGACCCGGGCCCGTATAGACTTGGGCTAGGGCTTATATTTCAGGACTAGAACCCTGGGCCAGGCCAGGCCTGGGCCTAGGTTATAGTCCTTATCATAAGTGCAAAGCCCAGCCCAGCCCATGATCACCCCTATTAATGGGTTAGAGGCTAGTGGGGACGTAGGGTGGGAATAGGGGCAGGGTGAACACAAGGCCTACAGGCCCATCGCAAAGGCTTTCAACACATTACATTGGAATAGGTTCCATCAAATTGTTTAATTACAAAGCATGCCTAATTTAGGGTCGGGGTGTCAATGGACAGATTTTGGGTTGTATCCTATCCAAATCAAAGTTAATTTGGACACATTGAACGGACCAATAAAACATATTGAATTAGACTAATACAGATTTAATGGTTCAAAGTATTTATTGGATTGGATTGGACCTTGTCTATCCATAATGGATTTAAATTGGATTTGGTTGAATTGAACCAATATCCAATCCATTGATAGAAAATAAGAATTCAGGTGTCTATGGACCAGGTTTGTGTTAGAGCCAATCTAAATCAAAAGCAATTTAAACAGATTGGACGATCCCAACATTGAATTAGACTGGTCCAAAATGGTCCAAATATTCATGGGATTGGATTGGACCATGACATCCCTAATTTAGGGGTTGTTGGATAATGGCCGAAGTGGCTGAACTGAAGCTGATGACCAAAAAAAGGGCTGAACTGAATAACATTTTTTATCTCCTATTGGATGAAATTATTAAATAATAAAATATTCGAGGGTAAAATAAGGAACCCATTACAGTCATTAATGAGTTCACAACATACTTAAAAGACAAAGCAATATATCATTCAGTTCATCAAATTCAGCTGTTACCAAATTAATGGTGCCTTAGTCTTTATCAAGCTCAAGTTGAGCCGAGCTTGAACATATGAGCTTTTGAATCAAGTCAAATTTAAGCTCATATTTCTAGTTTGAATTGAACTTGAACCTCATATTTTTCTGTTGAACTAAACTTGAATAGCCAAATATTTAACTCGGCACAACTCAAATTCACCCATATGATCAACCCAAAAGCAATAAAAACACAATGCTACAAAACCAAAC